CCTGGTGCAACCCTGGCTGTTGTGGCCATCTGAGGCATGAACCAGAAGATGGAAGGTTTTCTCTCTCTCCCTGGCCCTCTGTCACTTTGCCTTTTAAATAAATAAATAAATAAATAAATAGATCTCAAAAAAAAAAAAAAAAAAAAAGGAGTTGGGCTCCCCAGCCCCTTTTGAGCAGTAGCTCCCAATCTCCCACAGTGCTCTGCTTGCTTCCTTGGCCAGATCTTGGTTACGTTGCCGTATCCAGCTGCGTTGGAGGCTGGGAGATGTCGTCTTTCAAAAATTTTGTTTTGTTTTCTTTAATTCACGGCTGCAATGTCAGCAGAAATCGGTTCTGTTAGGAAGTAGAAAGGGTGGAATAGATATTTGGGTGGGCAGGCAGCAGCTTCTGCCATGTACGCGTGTCTAATCTATCCGAAGAGTTACCAGTTATTTGGTATCCACCATGCACCAGGGGCTTTTCATGTATTATCTCATTTAATCCAAAGAGCTTTGCAAGGTAGCTAATAATACTATCTCGATTCTGCAGTGACGAAACTGAGGCTTTCAGAGATTAAGCCGCCTGCCCCAGGTACAGCCGCGAGTGGTGCAGTTTAGCAGCCTGGTTCCAGGCTGGGCTGCTTCCTGCCTCAGTTGCTCGCGGAGTCCTGCCTCTCTCCTCCTGAGCCTGCAGGTGCTGGCTGTGCCTTTCGAAGACAAATTCTGGGCCTCACTGCCCTGACCTGGTCCGTTTCGCTGTGACCTGCATCCCCTGGGACACCTTCAGGCTCCTGTGGGGAATGGAAACACAACAGGAGCCACACAGGCTCCGGGGGCTGAGGTCAAGTTCTCTCCCGCGCAGTTCCCTTCTGGAAGCCTTGAGGGGAGACTCTGTTCCCTTGCCTCGGCTCCCTTCCTTCCTCCATGCGTTCATTTCATTTCTTCTCATTTTTCTTTTTTTTTTTTTAAAGGATTTATTTATTTATTTATTTGAAAGTTATAGCTGGCGCTGCGGCTCAGTAGGCTAATCCTCCGCCTTGTGGTGCCGGCACACCAGGTTCTAGTCCCGGTTGGGGCGCCAGATTCTGTCCCGGTTGCCCCTCTTCCAGGCCAGCTCTCTGCTGTGGCCAGGGAGTGCAGTGCAGGATGGCCCCAGTGCTTGGGCCCTGCACCCCATGGGAGACCAGGAGAAGCACCTGGCTCCTGCCATCTGATCAGCGCGGTGCGCCGGCCATAGCACACTGGCCATGGCGGCCATTGGAGGGTGAACCAACGGCAAAGGAAGACCTTTCTCTCTGTCTCTTTCTCTCACACTGTCCACTCTGCCTGTCAAAAAAAAAAAAAAGTTATACAGAGAGAGAAGGAGAAGCAGAGAGAGAGAGAGAGAAAGGTCTTCCATCCGCTGGTTCACTCCCCAATTGGCTGCAACAGCTGGAGCTGTGCTGATTCGAAGCCAGGAGCCAGGAGCTTCTTCCGGGTCTCCCACGTGGGTGCAGGGACCCAAGGACTTGGGCCATCTTCCACTGCTTTCCCAGGCCATAGCAGAGAGCTGGATTGGAAGTGGAGCAGCCAGGACTCGAACTGGTGCCCATATGGGATGCTGGCACTGCAGGCAGCGGCCTTACCCGCTGTGCCACAGCGCCGGCCCCTCTTCTCATTTTTCAAGACTTACTTGTTTGAAAGTCAGGGAAAGGGAGAGACAGACACATCTGCTGGTTCATTACCCAGCCACAATGGCCAGGCTGCAGCTAGGAGCCAGGAGCTTCACCTGGGTCTCCCATGTGGGTTCAAGGGCCCCAAGCGCTTTAGCCATCTTCCACTGCTTTCCCAGGCTGTTAGCAGGGGGCTGGAGCAGCCAGATCAGAAGTGGAGCAGCCAGAACACAAACCTGTACCCATATGGGATGCCAGGGTTGTAGGCAACAGCTTTACCCACTATGCCACAATGCCGGCTCCTCTCTTTAAAGATTATTTACTTATTTATTTGAAATGTAGAGTGTCAGAGAGAAATGGAGAGACAGAGAGACAGACGTATCTTTCATCAGTTCCCCAAATGTCCACAACAGCCAGGGGCTGGGTGAATCCAAAGCTAGGAGCCTGGAGCTCCATCCGGCTCTCCCACGTGGGTGCAGGGACCAAGCACGTGGGCCGCCCTCCACTGCTTTCCCAGGTGCATTAGCAGGGAGCCGGATGGGGAGTGAAGCAGCCGGGCCTGGACCCAGTGCCCGTGTGGGATGCCAGTGTTACAAGTGAGGCTTCCCCCATCGTTCGACGCCAGCCCCATGCCTTTCCCTTTCCTGGCTTCCTGCCTTGTCACCCGGCTTCCATGATCACATCTCCCTGCACCTCTCTCTGATAAGGACACGTGATGGCACTGGGGGCCTCCTGGGATAAGCTCCCCGTCCCCATGCGCCTCCTAACCTCAGCACGTCTCCTTCCACGGGGCGACCGTCCTATCTTGAAGGGGCCAGGGTGCGGGTCTTGGGAGGCTCCTCCCAGCCCCCTACAGGAACCCTTGCTCTCCTGCCTTTCCTGGTTCCTGTTTTCCTTCCACAGAGGGTTCCAAACGTGGAGTGTACACTCTTGTCGGGGACTTTTAAAAGAGGGGAGAGCCCTGGTCGCAGGGCTAATCTGATCAGCCCCTGGTGGCCGTAGCTACGGGCCTGAAAACACTGAGTGTGCAGGGCTTCCGGGTAGGATTCTAAGGCTAGGTACTGGCTCAGATCTCTCCGTGCCTGCTAACCCTGGTGCCTCCTGTTGCCTCGCTCTAGGCTAATACAGGCGTGTCTTTAGCCAAATACAAATGCTCCAACTAGCCAGGGGGGGAGGGGGAGGGAGTGTTAGCATCTGCTGGCGTCCTGACCTCTTTCTCCCTTCCTTGAGTTCACTCCCTTCTCTGTGCTCCTCCACCCCTGCCCACCACCGTGGCCCCCTCCACTGGGTCCGCCCGCGCTGGGGAGCAGAGTCTGGGGTGTTGCGTGTTTTGCTATTTTTTATTTATTTATTATTTATTTATTTTTGCAAGCGCCTCGCAACACCCGCCCCTCCGTGTTGGATGTCCCACTGCCAAGTGCATGCGGTTGCCTGGCAACAAGAAGGAAGTCGCTGTGTGATTCACCCGGCCACTGCCAATTAATTTGCTGGCTGTGTGGGTCTCCCAGGGGGAAAGCCTTTCTCCAGCCTCCCTGTGAGACAGCGCCGAGGGCCGGGCCGCTGCCCATGGAGGCACAGGGAACCCGGAGCAAGCTGAGCGGGACATCTTGTCCGTTTGGGGCGTTTCCGGGTCCAGCGTTTCCGGGGGGCCTGGGCGACACCTGGCAGAGGCTCCCGGTTTCCTTCTTGGCCACCAATCAGAGCACTGCCCGGAGCGCCTCGCGCCTCTGTCTGTACCTTGGCTGCTGTTTTTGGCTTTATTTATTTATTTATTTGTAGGTGACTCAAAAACACAGACTCTCCTTGCCTGCCCAGTTCCCCTGCAGAGAAATACGCGTTCCAGCCTCTTCTCCCTGCGCCCTGAGCCCTGCCGTCCCTGGTGGGCGATCCGCGCCCTGCCCTCTGGGTAGCTGCATCGCCTCTGCCAGGGATTCTACCGAGGACCACGGTGATGAGCGCTCCCGTGGCCCTGGGCCTTACTCGGCCCCTCAAGGCCCCCCTGGTGTCCAGATGCCTCCGGAATCCGTAGGAGTCCCATCCCGACCCTGCTGCCCTGGGGCCTCGGGTGCCTGCGCAGACCCTCAGTCGGGATTGCCCCTCTGCTGCAGCCCGTGAGGACGGGGTTCTCCTGCCTGGTTCATTTTCTGTATCCCCAGCACCTGAACAGTGTGGTGCCTGTAACGCGTGGGTTTGCCCGTGTCAAGGTTTTTCCTCGTGGGGTGACGGTGACTGCTGGAATCAGAGACCCAGAGAGAAGCTGCTTGTATGTCCCAGACTCCCTCTCCCTCTCCCTCTCCCTCTCCCTCTCCCTCTCCCTCTCCGTCTCTCTCCCTCTCCCTCTCCCTCTCTCTTTCTCTATGTGAATAGGCCCCTCCCTCCGTCCATTTTTGAAATAGTACCTGGGGTGTTCACATCCCAAGTCGAGTGCCTGAGTTCAAGTCCTGGCTTCGCTCCTCCTCATCCCATCTCCCTCCTAAGGTGCATCCTGGGAGTCAGCGGGTGACGGCTCAAGTGGCTGGGTCCCTCCCACCCACAAGGGGGACACAGCTTGAGTTCCTAGCTCCTGGCTTCAGCCAGGCTCAACCATCAGCTGTGTTGTGGGCATCTCTGCCTCCTCGACCCCCACCTCTCTCTCTGTCTCTGACTTTCAAATAAGTTGATTTTCCTAAAATGGGGAAATCTGAAGGCATTTGTGGTGGCAAATACATGTGCTCTTCAGAAATGGGAGGCCAGGCGCAGTGAGGGGGCGGGAACCGGGAGCCGGGAACGTACGGGGAGCCCAGGTGCATCCAGGTTGATTTGCTGCCGGTGTTAGGGCGTAGACAGGTGTCTCCCAGTGTCCTGTCCCCCTCCCCCCGAGGAACCACTGCCCTCTCTGGGTGAGCCATGACTAGTTGTTGGGGGGCTGTGAAAGCAGAGAGAGGGTCCAGCTCTAAAGTGGACATTAGACTGGGGAACCAGACTCCCGTCATCCTGTACTGAGAACACTGACACTGTCTGTGCCTCGGTTTTCCTGCCTGCAAAATGGGTGACCTAACACCTCCCTGCCCCGTATCCCACAGACATGAATGGGCTACTAAGAAGCAGACGTTCCCAGGTCCTCTGGGCTGGCTGGATAAGGTGGGGGCTTGGAAAATGAGCCCTGGGTATCATGGTGGAATTTGTGCAGGCGGATTCCTGTGGTGAGTCCAAGTGCAGGAGCTCCTTGAGAGACGCCAGGATTCCTTTTCTTCCTGAACTGAACTGCATACTTTGTTCCGGTCCATTGTGACGTTAGAACGGCAGGCCCCGTGACCATAGGGGTGCTCCGAACACGTGTTGAGAGAGCGGAAGCCGAGATCTAACCTTAATGCTGTTTTACACCCACAGGTCCAGGCCTGGGAAGACAGACGGAGCGAGAGCTGCTCTTTCCCGCCACGCTTCGTGACCCCAGCCCACGCCCCGGACCCCCACGGAGGACTCGGCTGAGGGCCGGCACCCTGGGTTCCATCAGGAGTTCCTACTTTGGAGAATAAAGGAGATGCGGGGTGGAGAGCAGAGCCCTCGGGTGAAGGACTCGTCTGTGCCTCGGCCAGGCCCTGGGCTCCGTTCTTGGACGTTCAGTGTTTCGCTGAGACGCTGGCCCCGCCCCAGCGGGCGGCCGGAGGCCTTCCTGCCACACCCTGGCCAGGGCCGCAGTGCTCCTGGGCTCGGCGTTTCTCCTTGTTTGCTCCACTCTCTTCCAGCCGGATGCTGAGTGAATAGTTAACTACATGTAGGTCAAATGGGATCTCCATTTTCGTTCCTGCTCCGTCTAGAGAGGCCAGCATGTGTGCATTGTGGGCGGCCGTGGGGTCGGATCCCGTCTCGCTTATTTGGGGTCTTTCCCCCAGCCAGGTTCCAGAGTGATGCAGGGGTCGGCGTGGGAGTTCTTCCGGCTCTCAGATGTTCTGGGCCCCGGCAAAGGCTGCCACAGGGGAGCCTGTTGTCTTCCATGCGTGACTTTGTCTTTGGGTCACATGCAGGTGTCCATGTGTGCGACAAAAACGGACACTGTCCTTCATCCTGTCACCTGTGACCTGAGACCCTCAGACCTCTGCTCTCCTGGTGGCAGTTGGGGTCCTTGCCAGAAGCTGGTCTTCATGCCAGGGCAGCCAGCCACCAGGACTGGGGTGTTTTGAAGGGCCCCTTCCCCGCCGGGTGTGCTGTTGCCAACAGCTCGAGTCTCCACTGTTCCTTTCGCTCTGTAGCACAGTTGCTTAACTGTCCCTCACGGGGCAACCCGGCCCCAGTGCAGCGTCAGAGCCGTTGGTGCTTTCTGGTTCCCAAAGCAAATGGGGGTGCCTTGTTTCGGTGAAAGGATTGGGAGTTTCCCCGGCTGTGTGTTTGGGGTCCCTCCCGGCAGCTCAGACTCAACACAGAGCAGTGCAGGCGTCAGTGCTGTTGGAGGGGAAAGATGGCTGCCGAGCCCTGGCACACAGTCACAGCCGTGGCGTTTCGTGGGCTCCCTCAGGTGCCGAGGAACAGAGAGCCGCTCACGTCACTGGCTGATTGCAGTGCTGGCTAATGGCAGAGCCGTGGTGGAAGGCAGACAGGGAACAGTCCCGGTGGACGCCCAGCACGGGCCTTGTCAAGAGGCCCAGAGCCATTCAGCACAGCCAGCTGCTGTCAGTGGTGCCCAGGGCGAGCAGGGGCAGTAACGTCCTGGTCATCTGGCCCCTCTGTTCAGCACGGGGGCTCACTGCTGCCGACTCTGCAGCTCCACTGCTGTGATGGGCTGAGGGTGACCCTCGCCCGGTTTGCCTAGGATAAGGGGTGAGTGGTAAAGTGCGGACAGCCCTATGCAAACCGTTGGCTGCCCCACTGGGTGACTCCCCGGCACCTGCTGTGCCTGTTTTGCCTGCTGTCACCGAGTGCTGTGCTTGGTTTGCTTGGCCGGTCGCCATGTGGGGCTGTTATCTGGTCACGCCATTGGCCACTGGGTTACCCATGGATGGATGCCGTTGGATCAGACCCCAGTCCTGATGAGATGATGAGATGACCGTGAAATGGTCGGGGTGGGTGATGTTGAGTGATGGCCTGGGTGTGAAGAACCAACAGAGACCGTGACCTTCCGAAGGGTGTTGTAGGGAGTGAGCATGCCAGATGTTGGGGGATTCCCTTCTTAGTCTACCTAGATGGGAGAAATTAACCTTTCTCATTAAAAACAAAACTGTTCATGAAGAAACAGCTGCTGCGAACAGTGGACAAGGTGTGCATTGTATGCAGTAAGGAACCAAGTAGAAGGTTCCACATCTTTGCTAGACAGCGAGCTATTATTTCTGAGATGGTCTTATCTGGCGAGCAGAGCAGTTCCTAGAGAACTTCCCAAGATGCCTTTGAACTCTAAAATCTTTGAAATCCCACGGGCTGGTAAATCGGAGCTAAGTATGCACTCTCTGTCTACGGTCTCCTGAGAACCGTTGAGGTGAGCTCAGAGCGTGTTGAGTGGGACCTCCCCGCCTCTCCTCACCTTTGCCGACGTTGGCTTTATTGGGAAAAGGCAGCTTGGGGGTGGTGGGTGCGGGGTGAGGTTAGGGGAGAGAGCAAGGGAGCTGTGCCAGCCCAGTTCTTTGGTGTTTGTGACAGGAAGAACAGCCTGATAGCCAAGTGCAGACTTTTTCACCATTTGGGAAAAGCCAGGTTTCCAGGACAGCACTGTCCCCTGAGGCCGCCTGCCAGTCAGGGCATCCGTCTCCCATGTTTTTTCACTGGAGCACGAATCCCCAGTCGCCTTGCATGGCGTGCCCACGGGAGGTGGTTATGGGCGAGGGTAGCGACAAGCATGCAGACAGCCAGAGGCCGCTCCCTTGTTAGTTACTCCTGGGATGCCCGTGCACCCCGGGTTGGCCCCTGGCTCGCCCTTACGTTACGGCCTGCGGTACCATGGTAGGGGGTGCCAGCCCAGCTCCTCGGGTGTCAGTTTTCGTTTTTGAAAGATGAGCACATTTCAGATGTCCCCTCCGTGTCTGTCCCACACTCATTCTCTGATTCCAGTAGGGAGTTCTGCTGTCGTACCAAAAGCAACAGGCTCCACCCCCCCACAGCCCTATATCCTCTCATCCACGTAGAATCCCAGAGGCTGAGGTGGGCATGGGCACCACCCTCCAACCTTGCCCTTTTCTAACATGTGGCGGGGATGGCCCAGCCCTGGGTGGGAGCCCTTCTTCCGAGTGCGGAAGAACTGCGGGAGGAGGCGCCATGACGCTCGACCCAACCTGGAAGCAGCAGAATTTGTAAGAGCAGTTCCTGGGCTGCCGAGGGGGCCACTGAATGTCCATTTCCTAGTGAGATGTTGAGCTAAATGCGTGTGTCCTCTCGCCAGCATCTGACAGCCTCCTCTTTCTGGATCCGGGTAGCGTGCGTGGACGCTGGTAAAAAGCTCAGAACAAGGAGACAGTTTTTGACTCAAAGTCCCTCATCTTAGTGCCTTCCATGAATGCCCGGGGCTAGGCCACACCGTCTTTGCAGGTTCCTCCTGCTCGGGCGTCCACGGTGCCTTCCCATTTGATGCATGAGCCATGGGCTTGCTAGGAGCTCAGGTCCGGTTGCTTTCTGTTCCGCATTCCCCAGGTACACCATAAAATTACTCCAGCCCCGTGAACATACTCATCCTGCCTTAGTTCTTTACGAATATGACTTAATTTCAGATCAGCTCTGCTTCCCCCCACCCCCAGACTTTATTCAACTTCCCTAGAAGATTTTTCCATGTCCTTGAAGGAATTTGACCCATAGGAAAACGTTTGTCCTCCCTCCTGGCCCTGGACCCCTGTGTGGGAAGGTGTGAGAGCCGTGGTAGCAGACGTGGGAGGTTTTCATGACCAAGCAGGTCCCTGTGCTCGAGGACTCGGGTGACCTGGAAATGGCGGCTGACCCTGGATGAGACCCTCCCATTCCGGGCCGGTAGCGGGGACGGAGGTGGAGCAGAGCCCTGAGCTGGCAGGAGATGGCAGCTCTGGGGACCCGCGTGCCCGTCCTGCCTGGACTTCCCCTCCAGCTCCAAGATCCTGTGCACGTCCGTCGCTCGGGCCCTCTCAGGGGCCTCCGTTTTCTCCACAGTAGAACGGGACAAGGAAGGGGCATCAGCCGGGCCTGACCGGCCTGTTGGTTCTGTCTGTGTGGCAGGGTCTCAGCTGGCCCGGCTGGTGCCTGACCGTCCCCTGGCAAGGAGCTCCATCTACCCTGGGCCTTTAGCTGCCAAAGGCAGCAACTCGGTGGCTCGGGAAGTCCATTACCAGGGAGTACTTCAAAGCTGTTTGCCCTTGTCAGTTGCACTGAACTTGAGTTTGTCGAGGGAGAACGCAAATAGACACACTGGCTGATGACAGGGGGAGGGGAAGGGGCACTGCTGTTTACCCCGGGGGTAAATGAGAGGGAAGGGAAAAAAAAAAAGAGAGAGAGAGAAACGAAACCCTGCCTGCCGTTTTGACCAATAAATAAAAACTGGGAGCTCGGCGTGGCTCAAACCCTAGGGGATTTATTAGTTTGCTTAGAGAAAGGCAAATACGAAGTCTTAAGCTGACCCGTCCTGGGACCTGCCTCTTGGCTTTTGTATGCCGTCCGGCGCCGATCACCGGGTGCTCCGGGTTATCGAGTCCTGTTGAAAGGTTTTGAAAAAAAAAAAAAGAAAAATTCGTTTCCTGTCTCCTTCTTCGCTTCCTCCTTTGCGGGCCTCTTCCCCTCGCCTCCCGCCTTTTCTGGTGTCTCAGGACTGGGCTTTGGAGAGCTGAGGAGAGCAGGAGCCTGCAGAAAACTGCCTGTGCTCAGGGCCCTTGCTGGCTTGGGAACCTCTGGGGCGGCTCAAGGTCAGGGCGGGGCGGGGAGCCCGGGCAGGTGGTCCTCATGGGGCCCCTCCATCCTGAACGCTAGGCGCCAAGCTATAGGGCAAAGGCCTGGTCCCTCATTAAACACGTCGTGGGTGTAGTCCCAAGCGTTGGAAAAGAACAGGTGGCAGCTGTTTCTGAGTTGTAGCCTTCCCATCCTCGGTGACTGTTCCTACCTGCCTGACTGCTGGTTGCAGCCTGACGCACTGACAGGTGGGTCTGGGAGCCCACGGAGCGAAATACCAAACTGAAGGGGCCGGTCGGTCACCCCGTCTATCCAGTTTCCAAGTGGAACTCAGCTTGATAGGCCACGGGCTTTACCTCTCACTTCTAGCATCCCCAGCGCAACCTGGGATAGCCCTGAAGCTACAGTGTTCTCGGGTGCCCAGGTCCCATGGGCGGGTGCTTTCTGGTCACCCCCCTGGTGAGGTGTCATTGAGCACCCGCTGCAGTTCCTTTACCAGATCCGCCCTTGGAGGGTGCACCTTACCAGTGTGACGGGGACCTGTGCCCACTGCGCATGCCAGCCAGGAGCTGGGAATGTCCTGGCACTGTTTAATTAAGAAAGTTCCACTCATGTTCCAGTAATGATTTCTGTTTGAGATCACCAGGATTCCTAATCCTATGTTGATTGTTCATGGAGGAGATGGTTTTTTGAAGAGCAAATGTTGGACACATGGGCTGCTGAAATCCTATGAATCCTGTGCTCATGTCAAGTGCCTCTTTGTCTAGGAAGTCTTCCTGGACTTCCTCCCTCTCAATGATGTGTGACCGCCCCCTCACATACTCTTTTAAAGCATCTCCCGTTGGATAGATACTCGAAGAATGTCGGCCCCTCCTCCTTGAGCATACATGTTAGTATCTCATTTAGTATGCTTGTCCTGAACTTGGGGGCACCCTCGCCCCCAGCATATCTCTCTTTTCCTGTCTCTGTCACCCTGTCTCTTCTCTAAGATCAGAATCGAAGTCATTCCTTAGTCCTGCAAATGTATCCTTGCCGTGCCCAATCATGTTTGGGTCACGTGGTAGGCCCTGTGATGGGCATTTCACATATTCTCTCATTTAATCGTCAGAAAACAGGGACTTAAATGCATCCGTTGCTTTGACCAAGTCTTTTATGTGAGAGTTGGAGTTCAAAGCCAGGGTCATTGACAATGTCAAGTTCAGAACTCGTAAATGTGTGTGTGGTGGCTTTTACATGGCGGATGGACAAGAAAGATGTGGAGTTGACTTTCCCTGTTTACAACCTGTTACTGTGTGTACCACCAACTTGTCTGTTTTCTGTTTGCCCATGAGTAATCAATAAAGTGTTATCTGAACAGCCAAGAATGTGTTGTTTCATTGGTGGGTTTCCCAGCAGAAGTTCTTCTTGAAAGAGAATGTGTCTGTGTCTGGTTTTGGCCGGTTGTCTTTGAGCCAGCTTCGTATCCAATATGCAAAACATAAATGGCAGAATTTCAGATCGAAATTTCTACCAAGTTTCACGGTGTCTAATAGAAATACAGGAAGGCAAAACAAACCACATCTGAGATTGTACCTGCTCTCTAGATTTTATTTACAGCCTGGTTAGACAAGACCCGCCCATGTAAAACCATCAATCACACTTGCCGAATGAACTCAGCCGTTCCTGGAGACTCGGCGGGCTGGAGCGTTCACCTGCTCTTGACCCTGATAGAACTTTCCCAGCAAGTCACAGGCCCCAGGCACGGGGCCTGGATGATGTGGGGGCAGATCCTTTGCCGCAGGACTGTACCCGGGTCAATCCTTGCCACCTGGGGATGACAGACAACAGGAGAAGAGGCACTGCCCAGGGCAAGCGGGCCCGGGAGGACGAGTGTCCCCAGCGGCCATGAGTCTCCCCTGCCCTGGTAAGCAGAGCAGAAAAGCAGGCAGAAGCTCCCCTCTGGGGGAAGAGAAGCCCTGAAAACATCCTCTGCGGAGCTCATTCACACCGGCAAACAAGAGTTTGGACAAAGGAGACGTTAGCCGTTTCAGACAAGAGGGAGCAGTTTCAGACAAGAGGGAGGCGATGGGACCCAGAGCCAAGATCATCAGACCACCCCGGGAAACAGAAGGCCAGTGGTTTCCAGGCTTTCCCATGCTGGCTCTCTTTGGGAGAAAGCTGCTCATTGGATTCTCTTGGCAAGGAGCTGCTGAGACCTTGTGCTAACAGGGGAGGAGCCTGAGGCTGAGGGAGGCTCCCCGATGGCCAGGGAGTGCGTCCCATGAGGCCCTGTACCTGGGTCAGGGTTAGGGCTTCTCCGAGTTGTGCCAGCACTGCCTTAGCCACAGGAGGCTGCTGTAACAGAACCCCTCGAACCTCAGTTCTTTCCCCCTAATGGCTTTTTCTCCATTTCAGTTGAAAGGGAGTTGGGGGCAGGAGGCTCTATCTGTCTTAGGAGACCAGGGCCCTAAAGGGGCTTCCTCCTCGTCGGCCAGTGAACAAGGTAAGGGCACCCCGAGAGAACGTGCCTGGGTCAGCGGGGAGCACCCCTCACCACGCTCACTCCCATGGGCGGGCACTGGTCACAGGCTCCGGTTGGATGCAAGAGAGCTGGGAGGTGTCCAGCGCAGAGGAGGAAGAGGAAGGAAACGCATGTGGCCGAGCCCTGGAGGACGAGCCCTGGTGGGTACTGCTGTATAAGGCAGCTCTCCCGGCCCCTGCCACTGCTGTGGTGCCGCCTATTGGCCTCAGCGTGGGAGCCACTGAGACCTGTGTGTTCTGGCCTTCTAGATCCCCCATTGTCACAGTGGGTGTGTAGGATTGGAGCTTTCCTACTGTGACTGTCAAACATCTTAAGACTCTTAATTTGGGAGTTTGCTATTCAAGATTTTACTTATTTGAAGGCTCAGATTGACAGAGAAAGAGGTAGGGTCTAGAGAGAGAGGTGAAGAGAGATCTTCTATCTACTGCTTCCCTCCTCAGATGCCCACAGTGGCCGGGACTGGACCAGGCTGAAACCAGGAACCCAGAGCTCCAGCTGGGTCCCCAGCATAGGTGGGCAGGGCCCAAGCATGCGGGCTGCCTTCTGCTGCCTTCCCAGGTGCATTAGCAGGGAGTCGGATCGGAAACGCAGCTGGCTCTCAGCTCTTGCCCTGGCTAAACGTCTCTCAGAGGGAGGCGGGAATTATATACATCATGAGATGTCTTGGGGGGGTGGTACCCAGTGCTGCACACTAAACTGTTACATTTTCTTGTCTGCCTGATACATGTAGTCGGAAGGTAACCTTTGTGTAATACGTTCAGTGCATCTGTGTTAGTCTGTGTGAAACTTCCCACTTGGGATATCGCATCGGTGCTCAAAAACATTCAGATTTTGAAGCTGTTCAGGTTCTGGATTTTTGGAGCAGGGCTGCTCCACGTGGAACCACCGGGGCCATCGGCCCCAATTTTGTTCCCCTTGGGAAGAGGATACTTCACACGTGGGCCTCTGTCCTTCTTCTGTGTTGTCCCAGTGTGAAATGGCCTCACAAACCCACTCCAGCTGCTGCGGTTTCATTTGGTATTGGTGGATTATTTTTTTCTCCCTTGTATTATTTATTTATTTTTGTATTTATTGGAGAGGCAGAGAGAGTGAGTTGCCGTCCACTGGTCCACTTTTCAAAAGCCTGCCATGGTCAGGGCTGGGCCAAAGCTGGGAGCTGGTAATGCAATCCAGCCCCCACCCCCCACCTTGGTGGCAGGGGCCCAGTTACTTGAGCCATCACCCTTACTTCTCAGGGTCTGCACTGGCAGGAAGCTGGAGTCAGAAGCCAGAGCCAGGACTCAAACCCAGGTGGTCTGATGGAGGGTGCAGCCATCTTAACTCCTGGGACACTTGCCCAATTGTAGTACTAGTATATTAGTCATTTTTTCATTACTATAATAAAACACCTGAGGCAGGCTTCTTGTAACAAAAAGAGGTTTTTTTGATTCGTGGTTGCAGAGGTTCACAGGCTAAGATCAGGCAGAGACCCATTATTTAGGCCTGTGGGGAGGGTGGTCTTGGAGGCGCAGGGCATTACACGGCAAGAGACAGGGATGCACGCATCTGTCGGTGTGTCTCTAATCTGTCTCCTTACAAAGCCACCAAGATTCACACATGGAGCTCCACTCTACTGACCTGACCCCATCTGTTCACTTCCCCAACGTCCCACCTTTACACTCCATAAGTGGGCTACGTTTCCCCCTTCTTAGTACCATCGACTTACGGCTGTGGGGTCTAAACTCCTGCGTGAGCTCAGGGCCAAGTCCTACGCAGTCCAGATCAAGAGTTCACGGAGCAGAGTGGCAGACCCTGGCCCTTGGCACCACTTCAGTCACACCTGGGCTTTTCCTCCCTCCAACATCTGTCAGTCTCAGCCCCTTGCAGAGTACCCTGTTGGACCCAGAGGCCCGGCCTCCTCCCTGGGGACGGAGAGAAAGCTGACGTCAGGCCTGCGGGGGAGCCCCCGGCCGGGCAGCCTTCCCCGCATCTCCACACCCAGATGTCCCCCCGCCCCAGAGACAGACCCCAGGGCGTGGCCTCTTGGGGCTGTGTGGGACCTCAGTGGCCTCAGAGCCTGGCACCAACACAGTCTGTTCTGTCTCTGGCTCTCCTGGCACCGCGAGAGAACGGAAAAGCTGCTCTGTTTACAGGACATGGGGCCAGAAGAGCATTAAAAAATAAGGAGCAAACAAAATGTCATAAACAAATTTCCTTTCCAGTAAGGAGCTCTCCCTGCCCCGTCCTCCGGCACGACCCGATCTTCTCCTGTGTTTGCATAAACTTTCATCTCCATGCAATTACCACTCCCGCTCGCTTCCTTGGCTATTTATTTTGATTCTGATCATTCCTCTCTTTTGGGCGTCACTCACCTCCTAGCAAAGAAAATGCCTTTGCTCTGGGGACCCAGGGAGCGGTTCCTCCCTCCGATAGCCTGCCCTCCTCCCTCCCTGCTGCTGTGTCCAGCCTTCTGACTCCACTGCAGGGGGTGACATGGCCAACTGGGCACTGCCTGGCAGCTCTCTCCTGGAGGGCTCATGGCGCTGGTTGAGTGGGGACGAGGGAGGGTAGGAGGTGGAGCAGAGGAGAGAAATGGATTCCAACAAAAGCTGGCAGAGACACAGGGGTTGCGCATGGTTGGGGGGTGGGGTGGTCCATGCCCTGTAGGAGTTCTACAGTGACTCTCCCTGCGTGTATCCCTGCAAGCAGGAAGCCAAAATCTCACGTTTCCTGACCCCAGCAGGTAGCTTATTGTAAAACAGTTCATCCAGAGGGAGGAAAAATACCTTGTTCTAGCATTTTAATATTCTTTTTTTTTTTGCTCTGAACCAGACTTGGAGAGGAACTGCTGGTCTCCCAACTCAGAAACTCAAGTGACTGCAGGAAAAACACAAAACACAAACCTCCTGGGCGCAAGTGGCTCTCCTCTTAGGGCCCAGCACCCCTGTTTGCATATTTTGAACCGTCCCTGAGTCTCCTGGTGCCCCTCTGCCTGTTTCCCTCCCATGTTGGGAGGGAGGAGGCGGGGAGGGGTACGTCCTGCCCCTGGTGACAATGATAAGTGGTGGTGGTGTTTGTTTTCTGCTTAAATTTCATTTCACTTTCTAAACGCCTTGCCTTTGCCTCGTTGGAGAAGAGGACGTTCTCAGAGGTGCTGAATTCAGAGGCACTGGCTCACGGGCAAGTGGGCTGGCTGCAGATTCCTAAAGATTTAACTCAGTGGGGGCACCAGCAAGAGGTTGGGGTGATGGCTAGGGTGAGGCCGGCTGCCCCGCCCAACTTCCCAAGGGACACGTCGCCCAGCCTGCCTTCCAGAGTCTCCATCAGAGGGTTCCCCGACCTAGGCTGGGTTGGTGACGTGGCCATGAGAGGCCCTTGGGTGCCTGACTTCTGGGGGCTGAAAGACAGCATTCCTTATGCACAGGGTATGGGGACCACATCCAAATGATTCCCACTGTGAATGTTGGTGAGCGAAAGGCGTAGAACCTGCCTCGGCCCACAAAAGTGCTGCTGGCTCCGTGCCTGGGGGACATGAGCACTGGGTAGATTTTTCCAGAATTGAGAAGGAACGTCTGAGGATCCACCCCGAATCCGGTGCCCAGACCCCTCTTACTTAATAAAATATTATTATTATTTAGCAATTGGGTGCTGTTGGAGAGAGAGCTCAGACCTCGCTCTTGGAACCTCTCAGCGAGTTCCTGGTGCGGAGTGACCAGAGCGAGCCTTTGCCATCTCTCCGGGGACACGGTTCCCCAGTTGCCTCTGGGGGCGCACGTGGGCAGAGGAGGCATCTGGGATGCCTAGTCGGGGCGGGGGGGGGGGGTGGGGGGGGGCGAGACCCAGTGCAGGCAAAATGCTGCAGAAGCAAAATCCATTTGTGGTGGCTTTGTGCTTGCCGTCAGGGCTGGGTGCTCGCGGGCCAAGAATGCTTTGAGTAAGAGGCGCTGGGGGTGGACCCGCTTCCATGTGGGCCACTGAGCTCTCCAGGGAGGGGAGGACTCCATCCGGGCTGCGGCCCCGTTCTCAGTTCCGCTCTATTTAGAACACTTTTTGTGTGGAGAGCAGATTGCTGTGCAGGAAAGCACCCGGCCAGCACAGAAGCTGATGCGTCCCCGGCTTTCTGCACTGGGGGTGGGGGGAGGGAGAGGGAGAGAAGAGGACCACAGGCGTGGGATGGACCAGCTCAGCACCCCTCCCCTCGCCTGCCTCCACCCCGCCCCTGCCTCGCACCTCCCTCCCAGCCCAGCAACCCCTCTGGGAAGGTCTTACTGGGACAAGGGAGAAGCCGCTGAAGTTATTTTTTCATGAATGCAAAGTGGGATTGTTAATTCTGTGCGTCCACACACTGGAACCGCCACCTGTGGAGTGGGCACTGCTGAGTGGGCCAGGAGCACAGTGGCCAGTGATGCGATTCTCTTCTGCAGGTGGGGCTGCCTGGGTCAAAGGTGGTTCCTGGACGTCACAGTGGGTGGGCCCCTGGCTGATCCTTTGCCTCCAGGACTATCTCCAAGGAGGGTTAGCTTTGTTGAGCACATCACAGGCTTTGCAGGTCAAGAGCCTTGTGGGTGGCCAGGGGACCTCTGAAAACTGTCTCCCGCAGGGCCAGCGTTGTGGTGCTGTGGGTTAAGCTGCCCTCGGTAACATTGCCATCCTGTGTCAGAGCCCTGGTTTGCGTCTCTGCT